GAAGAGGTCCCGGGGAGAGCCCCTTGTTGCATCCAGGATTTTTTTTTTTTTTTTATTACGCGGAGATTGCGTTAATCCTCTTGGCTGTGATTCTTTTTTGTTTACGGGGCATACTTGGCGAGGATTTTTTTCTTCGTAAAAAATGGTGGGGGGGGGGAAGGTTTATGAGGAGCTCTTTTTCGGTATGGCTATATAGGGGGTGAGAAAAATAACTGGGGTGGCTTTCGTTGCGGGGTCTTGTGGGTAAACGTGTTATCTTATTTTTTGAATGGTAAAACATTTGGAATTATGAGTATGTTTACCGTCACAATAAGATTTCAAGTGTTAGTGGAATTGATGATACATGAGGTTTTTTTTTTTTTTTTTTGTTGAATATTTTGGTATCAAAGACAATGTGGTCGAACTTTTAATTGGGTATTTTTGTTTTGAAACTTTCTTCGTTAATTTGTTGAAAAACCACATTTTTTTCGACAATGTAGAATACTCCTTTCAGATAAATTCAATCATAATCAATTTACTGAAAAACCAGATAGTGCCAGGTAAATAATCTTTTGAATTCAAATATTTCCTTACTTTAAAAAAATATTTTCAAAGTAAAATAACGCTATCTTGTTTTAAAATAATATTTACTTGGCATTATTTCAGTAAATATTTTCATGGTTCGAGAAATTTCTTTTTAATGTAATAAAATAAGGCTAACGAATAAAATGTAAAGGAAATAGGAGTACGAATGAATTCAAGGAAATTTGTAGCATTTTCGTTATTTACAAGTAAATTATAATTACATGGTCTTTCAAAGAAAGAATTGATGTGTGCATTTTCAGCGATTGCTGTTTGTATTTACGCCCGTTATATAAAAATTTTGATGTCTGAAGTTAGTGTTTAATTTTGAATTGTATGATGGCAAGAATATTATTATAAAAAAATTTTTTTTTTATAGTTCAAAATGGCATTATAAGAAAAAATTTAGTTGAAATATTATATTCCCAAGTCTCAAGCCACATTTTTGCAGTGATTCAGCAATAATTTATCAAATAAAATTTTTTTTGCACTGTACTTTTTACAGAAAATCGTGTATGAAAAAGTTAATGAAAATTTTGATACCATAAAAAAACACGCGTAACGTCTAGTTGATGTATAAACACACCTCAAAAAATAAATTCTGTCAATTTATTACAGAGTTGTATTAAAGAAACAATATTTTATAATAAAAATACCAATTAAAAGTCATTATTATTAGGCTTCGTATATAATTCAAACGTTCACAAGATCATTGAAAATTATTTTTAAAACTGAATACCCTCAGGATATCTCTCATACTTTTATGCAACGACATTAACGAAAAAAAAAAAAATTTTCAGAACCCACATTGTGCTGGCTCTTTTCTCTTTTTTGACAGTCAACGTCAATAAGCACGTTTGGGGCTCCCTTTGTTTTCGCTCGCGTGAAAAGTTCCCCGCAGCAACTTTTCGCGTGATAAATCACCTGATCCATCGCGTCGAGATTAGGTGCGATTTCAAAGCAGTCGTGAGCTAGAAAAAAAATGTGCCTTTCGATTTTTCATTCTTGGGCTAACGAGCGACCAAAGTATCTCGAATCAGTTCGAAACCAGCGGGAATAACAATAGGCAGAAAGTCGGGAACTCGATACTGCAGACTTTCACGAGTGGTTTTCGAGAATGTGTGCCTTTTTGTGTATGTGTTGTTGCCGAAAGTACTTGAAATCATCCTCTTGAACAACAAGTTCGTTTTGCGGCTAAGCGCTTTTTGGACTTTCATGTGGTGGAAATTTTCGTTTTTTTTTTTTGTTTTTCTTCAAGCCAATAGCGTAAATTGTTTGGATTTATTTTTATGGTAACATGAAGCAAACGCTTTACACATGAAAAAACCCAACTACAGCAATAAGTAGACCTAGACATTATTTTTTATACACACACGTGAGAGTGACTTATCACACGGTTCTCTGGGTCAGCGCGAGCGTGTCCTCTCCTATCGACCGCGACAAGAGAGCTTTCTCCCTATATATATATATATTTCCTTTATCCTCTTACACTCGTCCACTTTTATTCTTGTCACAGCTCGGCGAAATTTTTCGTTCGCCCATCACACGCGCAGCTTCCGGAATCTCCTGTGGATATATATATATATATATATATGCGCAACTACGTGTATAACATTGCGTACATTATATACCTGCGTCCGATTTTTCTCCGTTGCGCGTTGTTTACAGTTTTATGAGCGGCTTTCGAGGGATTGATTGGTGTTTTCGGGGGACGGATAAGTGGAAGAGGTCCCGGGGAGAGCCCCTTGTTGCATCCAGGATTTTTTTTTTTTTTTTTTACGCGGAGATT